GGAGAACAGCTGATCAGCTGCAGCAGGAAGCTTATCCTGTAGCGGGCTGCACAAAGGTGCAGCAGGTGCTAAATAATTTAAAATAATTTATTTTAAATAAAAAAATCCCATGCCGATCGTTCGGCTCATCCATCAATCAGCCAATTGTGTGTCATGTCCAATCTTATTTTGAAAAACCGCGATAGAGTGAGTCTGCGATTAACAAATTACGAAGTAGCGAGGGACTACTGTAGTTTTAAAAAAAAGGTAAACTGAGTTGTTAAAACTAATAAAAGCAGAACACTGGCTAAAATGTAAAAGTATCTAAATAACTTGCTAAAAAATAAATATAGCAAAAGGCAAACTAAAAGCTTATAATAGCAAAGGAGTAGCTAAAAGTCCCAAAACCCTAGCTAAAAGCAGCAAAAGGCTAGTTATATGCTAGAGTAACAAAAGGGTAAAGAAAACATAAATGTAAGCTTGCTAAAAAGTATCAAAGGCTAGCTAGATGTTAAGATTGGCAAAAGGCAAGTAAAAAGTTGAAAATAGCGAAAGGCTAGCTAATGGCTAAATTTTGTGAATGAGTCACTATAAGTAGCAGAACAGTAAAAACAGTAAATAAAAGCTAAAAAAAAAAAGCTATTAGCTAAAAACTAAAGAGTTTGAGAAGACAAAATCAGAGCAAGTACTGTATGCTGAAGCAGAGTTCAAAGTGAACAATGTTTTGGAAGGAAATGATGAGATCTAAATGTGTGGGAAAAATATTTAACTGAAATATTTTGAAAGCTAAAGATAAACTAATCAAAAGTCATAGCACTCAGCTCCTGAATGAGCTGAACATGCTAATACATGAATGGCTAGAATAGCACAATGAATGTTTTGCAAAACACATACAGAAAAATGGTAAAATAATCATATGAATGCTGGATCACTTGCCATAACGATAAATTAAATTTGTCCAGCAATGGAATTCAAGAAGGAAGATAAATACTTAAAGCAGAAGTTTGTCCGTAATGAACTAAAAAAAGGAAAAATTCTTGACAGTAAGGCTAAAATGAGTCGTTAAAGTATGATGTGAAAAATGCACAAGCCAAGCACCTCGTCTTCAAGTCGTGTAATTAAACTTGTACAAGACAGTTAATAATGCCCTGACGTGTGACCCTGCTGCTCTTCATCACAAGAGCGATTAATTTGCCTTTTCACTTGTTTAACCTTTTCGCTTCCTTTTCTTCTTCCTTTCTTTGTTCTTCCCGCAGCTACCTCCATTACATCTCTGACCTGGGCAACGGTGCACACTTGATCAAGGGCAACTCGAACAGTCCTCTTAACGACAACCACTGGCATAACGTGCACATTTCAAGAGACACCAACAACCTACACACAGTCAAGATTGATACCAAAGTTACCACGCAGACCACAATGGGTGCCAAGAACCTGGACTTAAAGGGTACGTAAAATAAAAGGATCGATATGTCAATGGTATATTTATGCTTTAAAATATAAAAACTTAGAAAAAAGTATGAAAATTGGTGTTTTAATGATAATTTCTTTGTTGTAGCAATGTGACATTATGTTTCATATCGTTCAAAAATACTGTTTATTTCTCTTTAAATGGTGCCATATGTTTGGAAAATATATTTGTGTGTTGAGCAGCAGAGTGGGTATGTGGGTTGTGCCCAAGAAAAAAACTTGCCAAACCAGTTTTATTTTATATTGACTTTATTTGATATATATTTTGTGTTGTTTATTGGATTGGGTGATTAATGTCTGAAGAAATAAAGCACATTTGCTATTTTACAATTTATTTAACAGACACAGGTTTCAGTAGCATGTGGAAGAACCATACACAGCAACAACAGCCTGGTTATCAGGTAGTTTCTGATAAACCCTGCTCTGTGACGGTGAGCATCGTCAAATCAGAAATTAGAGTTCAGTCTTAGACTGTGGATATATAAGATTGACACTAGTTGCTCACAGGTAGAGTCCGACCGATATGGAAATTTTGGCTATCATCAATACCGATATTAGGAGGCGCAGGCTAATGCCTATAATCGATATAATGGTTAAAAAAATTAGCTTTATCCACCACCAAGAATCTAAGTAAACAGCTACTTTGAAACCTGTTTTAACACTTGAAGTCTTCCTAACGTGCATTCACATTTTATATCCTCCACTATTAACCATAAAGTTATCAAGTGCGTTACAAAAATATAAATTAAACAAAGAAATGTCCTTCGTGTTCATTGTTTAGACAATCAGTCACATATGGTGATGCATTTCATTGAGGACGACAAAGATAACGTTACTAACACTGATATATTTTACCTCTACGTTAGATTTATTGTTCTGGCTAAAGTTTACAAGGCAATAGCCTATAAATGTTAGCTTGCTAACTTGAGAGGCACGTAGCTAATGATAAGCAGGTTGGAGGATTGAAGAGAATTCATTATTGTTGATTTTTTTAATTTTACGGATCAGTTCAAATAAATTCACTGTGCTCTGTTCAGCAGTATTGCTCCCTGCTTCGTCTGTGCTGCAAGTGAAAGTTAAAGTGGACGGCCATGACTTGAATGTTGTCCACATGCACCGTCTGCTGGAAACATTTTACAATTACGCCCTTTCGCAAATAAAGACACAGCTTGTTCCCAGTGTTTATATCGGTGCACAATGGGGGCAATTATCACAGATACCAATAGATCCCCATACGCCTACATGGGCCTAAAATATCGGCCCTACCAATATATCTGTCGGACTCTGCTTACAGGTGCTGACAGTCAGATTGGGACCTGATTGTCAGGACTTGGAGATACCCGAAGCTTAAAAAGGGTCAATAGCTGAATAAGATGTTTGGCATTGGCAGATAAAATTTGCCAAGATTATCATGGGTGTAACTATTGCTCAACCCACAAAGGCCTTTCTTAACAAATGTGGCACCATTCATTATAAAGAGGTTTTTGAATGACATAAAATTTATTGTCTATAAGCATTGCTACATCAAAGAAATAATCACTTTTTGAGCTATATTTAGATTAAAGCTCTCAATCTAATATTCATTTTCCATGTTTGTACGCCATAGGAGGCTTCTTCGATAATGAATTATTTATTTCTTAGTCTTGAAATTGTCAGTAGGTTAAAGAAAATATATGACCTTTGGGAATTAAATGAAAAAACAACATAATAAGGTTTCTGAAGCTTTCTTTTTTTTAATTAGTACAAAAACATAGACTTAGACCAAACTAACTACTTTATTAGAGGGTTATGAGTTCAGCTATTTTCTGACAAATGAGCTAAAGCATTTTCTGTTTCCTTTAGTCCCTGGTTTCAGTTGTTGCCCCAAATTAAATATTTTCTAGCAATAGATCCATATTAGCCTGAGAGTATCTGTTTCACTGTGAAACAAATTAAGTAGAATTGGCCACAGTTTGTGCAGGATAATTATTAGGTAAAAGCATTAATAATCAATGTAATGGTTCTAATTAATCCAGTCAAATCAACAGCTATTCACTAAGTTGTTGTTTAACTGCAAAATGGTTATATTGGGGTTTTATGTTTCTAATTAGGAAAAACAATTTGAAGGCCATGAGCACAAAAATCATCATAGAAACTATTTTATAATTAGGTTAGTCAATAATGAATTTTCTGTTGCCTTACAGGTGACCTGTACATCGGGGGTGTTACCAAAGAGATGTACCGAGAACTGCCCAAGTTGGTCCACTCCCGTGAGGGATTTCAGGGTTGTCTGGCAACAGTTGATCTGAATGGCCGACTCCCGGATCTTTTGGCTGATGCCTTGGCAACGATGGGCCAAGTGGAGAGAGGTTGTGAAGGTGGGGTACCAAGACATCAGCAGATCCATGCCCTTGTCTCCCTTCATCTTTTGTTTCCCTTTTTTTATTTCAGTTTTTAACTCACTCTCTGCTGTTAGGATAACCCACTAACCCAGCTCTCGCTCTGTTAGATTTTTACTTTCAGTCTTTTCATCCCTTCTGCACATTGTGTGCTCTCTCTCTCTCTCGGTTGCACTCTTTCAGCAGTTCACGGGCATCCGTGTGCACTGACTAACCATCTAACTTATTTTGCTTGTTTGCTTTTTTTTTGTTGTTGTTTGTTTGTTTGGCTGACAAAAGTTTCATTGATGAAAGCTGACTTGCAAGGTATAATGCTTTGTGCGAGCATGTGAGGGTGTGTGTGAGGGTGCGGAGATTTATGTGAGAGTGTTAAAAAATACCCCGTAATTTTCAGTGTTTGTGTGGATCCCAGTGATCCAGACTCAAAGGTCAGAGTTGATTTATCCTTTTCTCTGTTCGTCTAACGAGGCTGAGTCAGGTCCTCTGGATGGATTCTTCTTTGTTGAAACGATTCGTCTTTTATTCAGAAGACTTCTTCAGTTGTTCACATGCAAAAGGAGGACCGTCAGCCTAATGGCTGATCATTAGTGCCCTGATGGCCGCTTGCTATTCACAGAGGGCTGAGTGATGCAATAACAGCATTATAAGAATGGGATAATTAGACACAGAGGCCTCCGCCCCTGTTTAATGACGGGCGGGTTCTCCTCGGGAAGCCATTAAACAGAAGCTGTTACTGTGAGTTTCACTCAGCCCTCTGTGAATAGCAAGCGGCCATCAGAGCACTAGTAATGATCGGCCATTAGGCTGATGGTCCTCCTTTTCCATGTGAACAGCTAGTTTTAGCTGTCACCAGCAAACTGGTTAATCCACCATGAGAAGGTGCTGCTTGTAAGACTGTTTGTTGAAGAAGTCTTCTGGATAAAAGATGAAACGTTTCAACAAAAAAGAATCCGTCCAGAGGACCTGACTCAGCCTTGTTAGTTTATCTACCTGGATTATTAAGCATGCGTCAGGACTGACTTTGTGCAGTTCAACAGATTCAGTCTTAGTAGAGGCGTTAGCACTGCTTGACTTGAGTTGACCACATCTCCCGCCTTCTTTAACTGCATGTTATCTAACCTGTCCAAACAACTCCCAACCAAAACTTCAATACTCCTCTGGTGAATCATTTCACACTCCTTCCTCCACGCTTCATGTTGGAACTAATTTTAGAGGCTGCTCTTCTTGTGTGGTTGTAACATGAAGCAGGAAGTGTAAGCTGACAGAATGATGGAGAACGAGTATTGAGACAGAAACATAACTCCAGCTGTTATGTTTGGGTGCTCTTCCTGCTTCTTCCCCACTCGTTTAAACATGTATGCTAACCACATGACCCTCTTTTTTTTTAACCTTATAACACTTTGGATCGAGTTATTTTTGTTTATTTGATAATTTATCCTATTTCTGTAACTTAAGTACAGACACCTATCCACAACATCTTAGCCACAATTATACTAATCATATCCTTACTGCACAAATTAATTAGGGACATTTAAATAACCCCATATTACACACTGGGTGGCAGTGAAAACAAGAAGTATGATGTTTTCTTTCTGAATTTGTACAACCTTTCACTACATCAGGTTTGTCACTGCAGGTCCCAGCACTACATGCCAGGAGGACTCCTGCTCAAATCAGGGCGTTTGTTTGCAGCAGTGGGAGGGCTTTACCTGTGACTGCAGCATGACTTCATACGCTGGGCCGCTGTGCAACGATGGTGAGTGTTTTTCCTTTATTTGCCCTCAGATTTGGACAAACTAGAGGTTTTATTATCAATGCAGACTTTTAACATGTCTAACACATAAAAATAATGTATGTTTTCTTTGACTTTTCTTTTCACACTCTAGCATTAAAGGCCGCGGTTGATTTTCATTCCTTTAAAGAAAGCCATGCCTTTCAGTTAAAGGCTGTTTTGAGTTTAAGTGCATCTATAAAGGCATCTTCTAAAATATTTGATGATGTTAAATTCAACCTTTATTTTTACAGATTGGTCTCAATGAGCCTCGAGGACTCATTTACAAGTGATTGGGTTGTTAAGACTCATTTTAGAAAAGACTCATTTACAAGACCCATTTACGAAAGGCTGGGTTGTAAAGACTCATTTTAGAAAAGACTCATTAACAAGACTCATTTACAAGAAGTTGGGTTGTAAATACTCATTTTAGAAAAGACTCATTAACAAGATTCATTTACAAGAGGCT